TGACGAACCTTTGGGGAGATGGGAATGCCAGGGAAGAGGTAGAAAGTGGAAATATATAGTTAAATTTATTTAAATATTATATAATATATAGTTAACTTTATTTATATATTCTATATTAAATACTATTTAGATATTAATACTATTCAGTTGGGGTTCGGTTAGGTCTACATGGATCAGACCCAGACCTGAATAGTGCTAGATCCAAATCTTGGACCCGAACCTGACTTATGTATACCATATATTTTAAGATATAAATTTATTTATTTTTTAATATTCATGGTTATGGTATTCGAGATCAACCAATTAAGGTATAAGTTAAAAAATCATCTCTAAGATGGGTTTTGGAAGGAGATTTAGAAGATGCACTAAAACCCCATCCTAAATAATATATCTAGTCATGAGAATTCTTGCAATTGTCTGAAAGTCCATTTTCAATTTTATTTATGAAATTTAAAGCTTAAAAAAGCAGTGTATATCGAGAAGATCTAAAACACTTAAAAATATTGAAAAATATATTGTTTAGATAATATATTACAAGATGCACTATTTTCAATATATAAAATCCTATTATTTGCTATATCAATACATCTCGAGGTCGAGATGACAAAATTGGAGAAATTGTCACCATTAGCATAACCCTTTCTACTGAGTTTCTGAGGTGCCCCTTCTATAGTATAAGGTTTGTGCCTTCTATAAACTTTTTTCCAATGAAAAGAAAAAAAGATGCTCCATCTTATTAGTATTCCAATATCTGATTTGGATTGTTCATTAGTAGAGTATAGATAGATCAGATTTTCCGAAATCAAATTTTTAGGGTGGAACTCTTCGAGTGCTTATCGGTTTCTAGATCCTTCATGAAAAGACTAGTTTTTAAGTAAGAGCACACTAGTTCATTACAAATGGACTTCTTTAAGAAAGGAGTGGATTTGAAAGTGATTAGAAGGGATTTTGGTCCTTCAATCTATGAAAGCAAAGAGGCTTTATGGGAAGGAAATATTCCATAGGGCCTTAAATTTATAAAGCCATACCTTGGTACGTACTGAGGTGAAACCTTCTTATTTTTGGACGTACCTATGGTGCTGACCACAAAAGAAGTTTTTGGCCGTATCCATGGTGCTGACCACAAAAGAAGTTGTACAAAGAAGAAAACAATAAAGCAGGTTTAATTGGATTACCATTCATTAAATAGAATAACCCACCTAGAAAATATGAGCCAAAATTTAACTCCCACTAACAACTAACAACCCACTAAAACAAACAACCCACGAAATCAGTTCCTACTAACAAACTAATAACTCACAAAAAACTTCTAACATGACTCCATACTCATCCCTACAAGTTTTATTTATAACAACAAAAATATAACAACAAAAAGACACATAACATACATCCTTTCAAAAAATGTAATCTTGTTATCAGAAGATAACCAAATTAATGAAATCTCAACCTCAATAATCATAAATCTCATTGGTAAAAAAAAACATTTGCAAACTCCAAAAATAATTTATCTTAGGACATATTATTAGAACTTTCCCGTCACGTTGTTAAGTTAACAAATCTGCATATGTGTACCATCATTTGGGGTCCAAATTGGGTGCGGTTTATACAGAGCTGAGGCTCTAAACAATCAAAGTAAATCCCATCTTCAAATAGTATTGAAAAATATGCTTTCAGTACTATAAATCTTTCTGATAGTCTTAAAATATATTTTCAACTTTAATTATACAATTTAAAGCTTAAAAAATAATGCAGATCGAACAGATCTATAAAAACTTGAAAATCTCGAAAATTGATGGTAAAAATTTGCGTTACAAGATTCACTATTTCCAAAATTTGAAATTCTTTTTTTTTTCTCATGCCCACGAATCTTGATGTTAAGATGATCAAGTTAAGGATATTTGGGTATCAAAACAACTTTTTCTAGTGAAATTTTTGAGATAGGCTCTAATTTGATTGTTTAGAGCCTCGGCTCTATATAACCTTTTTCCCTTCCAATTTTAATAGCAATGTATTTTGCCTCCACGCGGAAGTTTTGATGGGCGACGCCGCACAATACCATTAATCTATGGACATACAGAAATCGCACCCGATGCCGCACCGTAGTTTACTGTTGCAGTGTGGCGCCGTTTCCGCTTCCAGACGTAATATAGCTCATGGCCCACGAGCGGTTCACAATCATTGCACCCTCTTCTGACGCGTCACGTATCAATTAAACAAAACCAATCAAACGTCACAAAAATTGATCTCTTCTACCAAACGTGTTGTCTATGTACTACCAACCGAAAGCAGTACTACCCTACTGTACTACCTTGTGATCTTTTTAAAAATAGAAATTCAATTAAGTTAAAATAAAATTTTAATTGTGTTTAAAAATAAACTAATAATACATAATTCATGGAAAATTACCTAATAAATCACATCTTCGTTGGAGATAAGTTAAGGGAAAGTTCAATGTTCTCAACCTTTTTAAATTATTTAAAATAAAAATTCAATTAAGATGGATTTAGAAATTCTTTTAAGTTTGGAAATGTATAGAATGATGCCTTTTGCCCTTTATAAAAGCTTTTTACGGTGCGGTTTGTAAAGAGCCGAGGATCTAAGTAATCAAATTAGAGCCCACCTTCAAATAATGTCGAGAAATATGATTTCAATACTGCAAAGTTTTGTGATAGCCTTAAATTATATTTTCATCTTTAATTATAAATTTAAGGCTTCATAAATAATGTAGATTAAGCAAATCTATGAAAACTTGAAAATCTTAAAACTTGGCGGTCGAAAAATACGTTACAAGATGCACTATTTCCAAAACTTAAAATTCATTTTTTTCTCATGTCCATGCATCTTTATGTTGAGATGATCAATTTGATGATTTTGGGCATCAAATCTTAAAAATTGACGGTCGAAAAATGTATTACAAGATGCACTATTTCCAAAATTTAAAATTCATTTTTTTCCCATGTTCAGGCATCTTGATGTAGAGATGATCAATTTGATGATATTTGAGCATCAAAACAACCTCTTCTTGTGAAAGTTTTGAGGTAGGTTCTAATTTGATTGGTTAGAGCCTAGGCTCTACATAAACTTTTCTCTTTTACCTCCTTTTCTTTTTTGACCACATTAATACAACTAAACTCGATAAAAATTATAGAAGTAGGATTTTTTAAGATGAGAATATGTGTGTCTAAAAGACGCGGTTCACCTCCAAATCTAGTCGAAAGATGTAATTTTGGTCTGGTCGAAAGATGTAATTTTGGTATTGGAAATGTCAATGATTTTAGGAAGGTGCTCAAAGTTAGTGGTAAGGGTGGCAAGGTGCCACAATGTAATTTATTGAGTCTTTCCCTCACTGAACTACTCTAAAAACGATATTTCAATGATGATCTAAAAAAATCTATTTCAAAAAATAGTACAAGTTGACTAGATTTACAAATATTTAAAAATCTTGAAAATGGACTATCTAAATAATCTGTAACAAAATATAGTATTTTTAGAACTCAAATTTTTTTTTCGTATATCCGTACAAGTCGAGATGATCAATTGCTCCAATTTTTCAGCATTAGAAAAACCATTTTGGATGCCTTTTTAAAGCATGTCTTACTTCTATAATACAAGGGTGATACCTTGTATAAACTTCTTCCATCAGAGAAGCTCTTCCAAGCCATTGAAGATATGATAAAACTCATAAATTTTCCACTTGATGAAACTATTACATCATTTATTAAGAACGCTAGTAGTAATAAACTTTCGGGGCTACTGTATAGGAGATATATACTGCTCTCTTATTCAACCGTCCAATTTAGATCAAGTAAACTACTATCTGTTTGATCTAGATTCGATGCTTATTTTATTTTTAATTTTTTTACAAATTATATGAATATAAAATTTGGTATATAGCATCAACTCAACGAAGAGTGCCTAAAAAATATTAAAAAATATTTTCAATAAAATACAATGACGAAAATACTCTTGAAATTTTTAAGAGTATTTTGATTATTTTATTTTATTAAGGATATATATTTTTATATTTTTTACAAATGCAAGTTTAACAGAGGAGTGGTTTCCCAAAATTTGGTGTCAAAATATTTTGTAAAAAAAAATTAAAAATAAAATAGTATAAAAATGTGACATTGTGATTGAGACCATCGCCTATTCAGAATGGACAGAAGGATAGGAAGAAGCATACAAATTTTATAAAGCACGAAAAATATAAAAAAAGTTGCCTAAACTTTATTTGTTTTGAAAGAATTACAAAAAACCCCCAAAGATGCACCATTCATTCAACTTACCCCTACATAAACTTTTCCCTACACTTTTTTCCCCTCAACAGGCTTTCCTCCCAAAAACCCCCCAAAGTACAAAGTTAGTAATTTTTTGCACAAAAATGCCCTTACCATACAATAAAAATTCAATTGGCGGTCCCAAGTTGGCTATTGTCGGAGCAAAGAACAAAAACGCTAGACCACTTTGAAATGATTGCTGGATTGCAATAGCCACTACCTGAGGGCGTTGCCACAATATAAGAGCGATGTGCTCCGAAAGAGTATTGCCGAAGCGCATGTAGATATCGTCGGAGCGACGTGCTAAAATGTCGAATCGAAGTGGCTTACTGCCGGAGGGGCTAATTTGACTGCCGGAATGCTTTGGCTCCAAAAGCTTGTCTTTTTTACTTTTTTGGGGTGTGCGGGGGGGGGGTGTTTAAAAAATGATTTATTGAAGGGAAAAATATGAGAGAGAAACATCGTAAGGTAAGTTGAGTGAATAGTAATTTTTTGGGAGGTTTTTGTAATTTGACGTTTATTTTTTTTGCTCACGTAAAGTACTAAACCTCGGTCAAAGCACAAAAGTAATTCGCTCCAAAGTTATTGCAGTTCTCGAATGAAGATGGGTTTACAAAATATTTAATTAATATTAGTCAAACCGTATAATGCTTTTGTCGTTAAAATGGGTTGAAAGTTAAATTAATTTATGGGAATAATTCAGTCCTTTTCAAACTTCAAAACTTACAGCGAACCCAAGAAGAACATATCAAAGACCTCAAGGTTCTGACCCTCCGCAGTGTATAAAAAAGGAAACGAGCGCGTCCATAGAGCGAACAATGTGGTGTTCGAGTTATAGCTCAATTACTCTTTTAAATCATTAATTTAGGACCATTTGTTCTTAATCAGGTATTTTCTTGTCTCATTTTTGCTTATTTTTTGGTGTTTTATTCGATTAGAGTTTCAAGGTTTCAATCGGAACTGTCTTCTCTTTGTTTATAAGCATTTTTTGATAATATATTTTCATCATGAGCATTGTTTGATAAATTTGTTTCATGGGTTTTGAGGATTATAGAAAATATTGGATTATTTTGTTTGTTTGTTGAATTTATAAAGGCAGAGATGAGTTTCTCTGTAAATTTGATGCCTCACACTTGATTTGCTATATTTTTTTAGTTGTGAAGATTGTTGGTTTTATTTTTTATTTTTTCCATTTTGTTTTCTTTCATGTGTTTCATATCTCTCTCTTTTTTTCTTTTTTTGAGTTTTACTTTTTTTAATTTTACTGTCTCTCATGTCCTTGTTTCTTCAGTTTTGTTTAATTTTTTTGATCTCTTTCTATGAATTGGTATTTTGGGGTTCCTTTTCATAAAATTGCTTGACATGAAACAACTATGAACTTTGATTTGACTTGCCAAAATAAAACGTTGAATTTCCATCTGTTTTTCACTTACCTTTTGTTCCTAAGTTGATATTTTTCACACTCTTCTAGTTTTTCCTTTCATGACACCAGTAGTATCTTCCCCCCCCCCCCCCCCCCCCCTTTTTTTTTTCTTTGAATTGTGGTCTCAACTGACAATTAGCTGTGATTTTGGTAAGTGAAACTTGGTTCAGTTTCCATCTCGTTTTTTGCAAACCATAATGAACTTGCTCATGACGCATAAGGGCAAAAATTAGAGTTGACAAAGCTATTGAATACCCCATTTTCTAGAGTAGAAAGGCTACTTTGTTTGTTGGTTTTTCTTTACCTTACCTGAAAATCCATTTTGAGAGCTTCAGTTTTATTTTGCACTGGTGGTTAGTCATTCCAAACAGGTTAGTGAAATTGACCAACATCTAATCTTGCAGTCTTTTATGACTTGGCATATTGAATTGACATTATAATT